GGCGTCCCCGGCGAACCTACCCGCGGTCACGATCGCTTGCGGGATGCGGCTCCGGTGCTGACCTGGCCACGGCTGCTTTTTTTCCTGCGTATACCCCGAGATCCTGATGATGATGTCCTGGCCAGTGGGGGCTTTTATTTTCTGGCTTTTCGTTTTCCCAGCCGCAGGCGTACGGCTCACAGATCTTCCCTTTGGGTGTCTCTCCCACCTCCCCGCCCGCTTTCCCACCCTCGGGGCCGAAGAAAACTTTCCGCGGGGCTGCTCTATGGTCTTTCTGAACCTGGAAGGCTTCTCACATCCCTAATCTGGGGAAGGCACGGGCTTCCTTGTGCGATGGTCTGAGAATTGAAAGCAGAACAGCACTTGGCTCTAAAGGCAAGGGTAGATTTTTGTGGAGCTGAAACCCGCCCGGAAGGGAAGGGAAAGTTTTGAAGATTTTTTTTTGGACTGGGAGCGATTTCCGCCCCTGCACCCCAGCTCCTCAGTTTAAAACTTGTGTATCAGCAGAAGTTACGGCCGTTCACTAGCACTGACATTTTATTAGACAGTTGACCCTAGACATGGATTTTTTTTAATGTATCAGTGTCATGTGACACACTTATCTCCTATCGCAGCCGGACCTCAGCCTGTTTCGCGGTGGACAGTTACGTGGTCATTGGACACACAATGGATTTGATTAGGGAAAGCTGAGCGCGCAGAATTTACTCTGGGGCTGCACCAGTTCTGCCAAAAGTTATCAAAAGCCACGTTTAAAACTTCTATTCCAGAACTGAAGATGCCGTTGGTTTATAATAGAGGAAAATGGAAGCTAAAGGCGTCCACTTCGTGTTCTACCTCAAAATAATTAAGGCGGCTGATATACAGAGTTGAAGCCGTTTACTTTACCAGAATGAAAGCTTAAAACCTGTCATTTCATTCACTTGGAGATCTTTTAGAAATTTCTATAAGATTTAAATACAAGAGCAATGTAGGATATCGTCCTTTCCACTCTTAAGATAAATTATGTTCTCTGGGAAATTCCCTAATATAAAATGTGTTCAAAATGAAAAAGATCTTTAAAATACACCGTCTATGGTATAATAATAAACACACTATTCTCCATCACTAGAGAGGAACTTGTTATATTGTTACACTATTTTTGCTCTCAGGCTTCCCCCCTAATTGCTAGAAGTGGGCTGGTTTTCCCTTTGTGGTCCTGAAGGAATATCTGGAGGCTCTTGGCAACCAAGAATAATCCAGAAGCACCTGAGGCATTAACCCCATGTGTTGTCAACATTTCAACTGTGAGTGAAACCTACATATACCAATGAAAGAGGAAAGCTTTTCCAGATTCATTTTCTTCTGGAGAGCTTACCTCTATGACCTCAGAAAATTGGTCCAGAAGAACCTTTACCATTTAAAGTTCACGTTGTTTAAAAGCTGATTCTGCCTAAGTGACATCAGATGACCCCACAAAGCAGCATGACATCACCAGAGCCAACAACCTGCTCTGACAAATACTAATAAGGGGTTATAGGAATCTTGACATGCCTCACAGTAAAATCAGCATCTGTCTGATCCCTTGGGTTTTATATGTGTTAAAAAGGATCTTCATGGGAAGGAAAAGGCAGTACCAGTCATATCTTTCCTAGGAAATATTACGTAGTATATAATTTCCTCACTGTCTTCTTCATTCTTAATATGTAATAGAAAGATCCCAATGTACTCAGGACCTAAAACAGTGACTTTCAGATGGGGTGGGGGCATAAATTATCTACAGGGAACATGAAATTTTTATATCTAAAACACTTCATTATACAAGGTTCGAAGACTAGGCTCACATTTCTTTGCAGGATACGGCTTAAGGTAAAAGGTAAAGTGCCTGACAATCCCAAAAGTGAGACAGGAAGTGGGGCTCTCATAAACTCTAAGAATGGAATTGGTACAATCGCTTTGTAAACAGTTCAGCAACAGTAAATTTAATGTTTCCTATACCCTTAAAGAATCTTTTTAATAGCCCTGGCCAGGTAGCTCAGTTAGTTACAGCAATGTCTGGATAGGCTAAGGTTCCATCTCTGGTCAGGGCACACACAAGAAGCAACCAATGAATGCATGAATGTATGGCACAATAAATTGATATTTCTCTCTCTTTCTCTCTCCCTGAAAAAAAATCTTTTTTAATAGCATAAGTTGCAATAAAAGATATGAGACATATTAAACAAATATTAACCTTGCTTGGATCCTGATTTCTACACACCAATGTAAAAAAGATATTGTGGAGACAACTGGAGAAATTTCAACATAAAATGGATATTAGATGATATTAAGGAATAATTATTTATTAGATTTGATGATACTCATTTTTGAATATCCACAGCAATTAGTAAAGGCCATCAGGTTCAAGGAAGTTATTATCTCATGAACTATCCACACCTCCACCTCCCTAAAAAAACTCCACAAAAAAACAGGACACAACAGGACAGACAAAAGCTATGCATGTGCCTAAGGTCTTTCCTTCGAATTAAAAGGCAGAGCATGTGACAGGACTAAAAGTGGCTGGACTTGCCCTAGCCGGTTTGGCTCAGTGGTTAGAGCGTCAGTCCTTCGGCTGAAGGGTCCAGGGTTTGATTCTGGCCAAGGGCATGTACCTCAGTTGCAGGCTCAATCCCCAGCCCCGGTTGGAGAGCTGTGCAGGAGGCAGCTAATCGATGTGATGTGTGTCTCTCTCACACACACACTGATGTTTCTCTCTCTCTCTCCCTCTCTCCCTCCCTCCCTCCCTCCATCCCTCCCTCCCTGAAAAGCAATGGAAAAAATATCCTCGAGTGAAAATTAAAAGAGAAAGTGGCTGGACTTTCTGGCAGAAGGAAGGAGGACACATGGGGAACCAAATAGCATAGTAACGTGAAATACCCACAAAGGGATCCACTGGGCAAATGTCACAATATTGATCATTTGATTTACAAATGCTTGAGTTTTAGTAATTCACTAGACTGGAGCAGTCAAATGGGAATGTGCTGTGGAGCATGAAGAGGCAGTGTTGGTGCGTCATTGCTTGAGTCTGTGACTCCGCAGAGTGCTTTGTTCTTGGTCTCCTGCTGACTGATCTCATCTGAGACATTGAAGCAATTCAGCAGCCAACAGCTTATTGGGTGTTGGAAAAGGCACCAAGCTAGGAATCCAAGACACGTATTTTTGTTCCAGCTCTGTCATTAGCAAGCTGGGGAAAGGCTAGTAATCTCTCTGGGTTTATTATCAATAAAATGGACAGGTGAGACCACATAATCTTCAAGGTTTTGTCCAGATTTCAAATTCCATGCTCTTATTTTAGAATCAAAATTTTAAATGATTTGTCTAAAATACCATGTTAAGAAGTCTTAAGATAAAATGCAATGGGAATGATGCACTATTCTGAGGTAAAAATCTCTTTTATAAATATAAGGAATGAATGTGGCTTTATTGTATGTAGAAATACTGGGAGGCTTTAGTTAACAATTTAAAAATACTAATGTAATGCAGTTGAACTACAGATGGGATTTTATAAAGTAGCAAAACTTCAAATTCACAATTTAGAATGCTACTTTAAGAAAAGCATGTTTTAAGAAGTATATTATTTTTCATAATTTTGAACCCAAAGTTCAAAATTATTCATCCCTAATAAAGGACAAAGAAAATTAACAAAATAACAAATGGTTTATATGTGTGACCTATTCTGAGACTTATTTTACGTGTTAAAATAGTTGATTTATACACACGTCTGGTTTGTAAATAAAATTGTGAATCAAGAGACGTTTGTCTCTAACAAGAATTCTTTTATCCAGATCTGCAATCCTTGAGTATATTCCTTGCTTGCTTCTCCTCTAGACCTCTTACCAACCATGTTCTTAGCAAGTTATCTTTTTTCTTTCTTTTTTTTGCCATAGACCCCTTTAAAAATCAAATGAAAGCCATGGACCCACTCCACAGAAAAACATGCATACTCATGAAATTTTGTATTTCAGGTAGTTACCTGACTTTTGCAAGTCCATCCATTGGCAGAGGTGTGTAAACCTCAAGATAAGAACACCTTTACTCAAGAGGAGATCAGCTCAATCTCTTGCCCTTCAAAACCTGTCTTTTACACAGACATAGTTTCATAGCATTTGCTTTCATTTGTTTATTTTCTGGTCATCCTGAAAAGCAGGGTGCTGTGTGGAAAGCTCTGGATTGGGAGCCAGAGGAGTTAAGCGCTTGCCTTGATCCTTCCCAGGGGTGATACTAAACTTATTTAACAACAGATGTAGCACAGATGTGGCACAGGAACCAACTGTACAGAACAGAAGCTGCTCAGTGCTGGGGAAGAGCCTAGGTGCTCCCTGCCTGGTGGATGGGATCATGGGGAGCTCTGTGGGTATTCAGAGGCCACTGAAGGGAGATCCTTTTGGGGGGGGGGCGTTGAGGGCAGTGGCTATTAACTAACCTCTACAGAACTATTTTAGTGTTTTCTTCTGGGGGTGACAGAAATGTTCTAAAAGTAGATTGTGGTGATGGTTGCCCAACTGTATAAATTTATTCAGAATGATTCAGTCATTATTATGGATGAAGTTTATGGTAATAAATTATACCATAATAAAACTGTTCAATAAAAGAGAAAGTAATTTCAATATTTTTATTTATTTTTATTTTTTTAATCCTCACCTGAGGATATTTTTTTCCATTGCTTTTCAGAGTGGAAGGGGGAGAGAAAGAGAAACACTGATGTGAGAGAGACACATCAATTGGTTGCCTCCTGCACACTCCCCTACGGCGGCTGGAGATGCAGCCTGCAACTGAGGTACCTACCCTTGGCCAGAATTGAACCCCGGACCCTTCAGTCCACATGCTGACACTCTAACCAT